AAGCCACTCGACGCCTCGAGTATCTTTGACGTATCATATCATAAATAAATGACGATGTTGTGGTCTGTTCAATATTTGCTTTATTTGTTTAGTCATTATTACGTTATTTTCATATTCCAAATAAATACTCCAATACTTTAAACATTTTTATACATTTATAAAACAAAAATGGATAGGAAGAAAACATCCTAAAAGACATACTAAAAAGTGTACAATAAAAGAAAATTTAAAGAGAGTACATCATATATATGCTATAGATTAAAATGTACATCCACACATTATTATAAATTATTTCTCAAAATATGGAAAACAGATAGGTAAAAACCTGAAAACCTTGAAAATAAAGTACAGATATATATTTATTTATATTTATTTATATTTAAAAGAATCTTTAAGAAGATAAGCAGAAATATTATACATATACATAATACTACTTCCTGAATTTAAATAAATTTATTTATTTTATATTTATATATTGTTATATATTGTAGTACATATAGCTGTATCAAAACAGTATAAATCGCGCGCATAGTAATTTAAATAAGTAAAACCTCATTATCCAAGTTTGATTTACCAAACAGTCGCATATATGCGGTACTAGGAAATGACAGCCGAATACATTTGAATATTCTGTAATCTAATAAATAAACGAATATGTTGTTAAATATGGGGAAATATAAACATGGACAGAACGTAGGATAGTAAACAAGAAAAATGCTGTATTCTAGAATCTAATTTTGTAGAATAAAGAATATTTTCAATATTTAGATGGACTTGCCTCTGGGAGATCTGTATTCTTTAATAATTTAATGCTTAAATTTATTTACAATTTTTCAGCACATTATTAAGAATGGTTTGTCAATTTAATTTAATTCGTGATGTCATTACAATAGTTTAATTCGTTTAAAAGTCCGGAAAACCAATTCGGCGCGCAGTTCGAATGACTACAAATACGGTATATAAGAATATATACATATGTATATAGTATATGTATATTTCACATTGAATTATTTAAGCATTAAAGATCCAGCTTCGACCGGTATAGGCTTCTAGTTTATCGATTGTGTTCAATACATTAAAGTCACGGCTGATATGCGTGTTCAGTCACAGCTGATATGCGTGTTCCGCCAGCGAAAGAATAAACACGGAGAAGTATATAAACATGGACAGAAGGTAGGGTAACAAAGGAGTGCTGTGCTCTTGAAATTGACTTAGTAGGATACAGACCTGTTTTCGACATTCACCTGGAAAGGCTAACACAACAGATTTCAAATGGGTTTGTCTTCTGTAGATCCGTATTCATACGCTATACCAGGTATTTTAATTACATAATTAGATATATGAAAATATAATACTTTAAAGTATACTTTTTAAAGTATACTCTTCTTATCTTTGTTTGAAAGAAAATAAAATGTGGGACATCTGATAATAGTAATTTTAGTAGAATGTTTGAAAGGTAAAAGCTGTTATACAAATCTCGGTCCTAATTTCTTTAAATATTTGAGTGTATTATGATTTGCAATATTGAGCGTGTCTCTTTAAAAGAATAAAGTATAAATTATATAGTATTTTTAATATCCCTCCATGTAAAAATAATACGAAAGATACGCAATATAACGTTTTGAATTACAGTATATTACGTTTTTTATGTACTTATGTTTATTACATATATATATTCTAAATAAATATTTGAATATTTTTTTAATTTCTATGATCTTTTAATTATTAGATATTGCTAAGGTAGTTCATACCCATTTAGACTTATTCGTCGACTTTAATGGAACAGTCCTTCGCGGTGAAGCAATTTTATTTATAGAAATGATAAAACTTGGATATCACCAAATAGTTAGTAAAAATTTCCTTTTATTTTATTGAGTAAGGTGTCGTAGTTTCTTATTTGTAATTAATATATTATATTGAACAATTAGATTTTAGATATCTTTGAAAATAGTATAAGTGTCACAGACTGTAAATCAGGACAAAATTTAGAATACTTCATTAATAAAAATAGTGCTAATGATGGGAGTCAATTTATTATTCACTTACCGTTGTATTATAGACGTAATTTTACAGAATATAAATATAAATATCGCAAGATACCACGTGTACAACGAATGTGATTTTTATATTCAGATATACTGGTTCCTAATTATCTAACTGTTTGACTAACATATGCAGCATCGCAGTTTTTACGGAGATTATGTAAGATATTGAGTTGGCCAAAAACTAACTGCGTTTTTTCTGTGTAAATGAAAGACGAATATTTCATGAAAAACGAATAAATGGTTCTCTACGCTCGATTTCGATATGTTTAAACTCACAGTTACCTCTCGTGTTGTTAAACATAGATTCAAGTCGATCAGTGCCTCTATCTTATTGTTATCAACTTCGATTAGTCTCCCTGAACATGCTGCATCTTTAACATCAAAATCTTCAAACCGAAATTTTACGAATCAATTCTAACATTGTCGTAGTTTTAAGCATCTTCATCATATACATCACATAACTTTTTATGAGCTTGCATAGCGTTTTTTTCTTTTCTGAAATAGTAGAGTAATGCTTGATTTGCTTCGGTCTTAATCCTAAAATCTTCAGCCAATGGAATACAGATTTCGAGACCAATTAGAATTGCAGTCTGCTGGCAGAATTTTAGGATTTTACGAATAAAATCGAAGCACAAACCAAGCATAAAATATAACGAAAATGTTCTTTCTGTTTTTTCATATTTAAAATTAATCCCAAATAGACAGTTATTAAATTGTGTACGTTTCTTTCTAAAACAAGCTTGAAAAATAACCTATTAGGATATACAGTAAATTGCCGTTTAAAATGAAGCTAATTACATTACAAGAGATGTATTGCCAATTATTAGAAAAAAATACAATTACTTTTCGGCCAACTCAATATATTATTCCTTGAGAAATGTAGTCAAGGATCCTTATAGACTTTGATGAATTCATGTAACTTATTAACGCTATAAAAAGAAATTCTTATGTCTTTATTATTAAGTTGAATAAATTTTTCTGAGATATTCGGAACAAGAAGGACAGTGAACAATGAGAATAGGCTACAGGTATTCTCTGAATGTTTTTGGAATCGTTTTATACATACTTTAACATATATCGTCTGAATATATATTTCAGACGATTGTAAATGATGTGAAGAATAAACTCTAGAGGGTATGAGCGTCGTTATTGAGAAAATTTTAAGTTCTTTGCGTGACATTTAAGATTTTCCCAGTTTTTATTATTGTTCTTTTCTGAGGGGGTAACCACTTGTTTTGAAATAATGTTCGAATTACATAATTTCATATGGCTTCACCTGACTACAAATAATTTTTTTCACTACATATATATGAAATCATTTGGTAAAATATACGATTTTATTTAATATTATACAATGATTTCTCGTGGTTGCATATGTAATCATCGGATTATCATAGAGATTTCGTATATGAATTTTATAATGATTCCGAGAACTCTGTCCCACGATTATATTAAGTGGTTACCCTCTCGATATTTTCCATTCGCGTCGTTTAATGATATAATTCTCAGAACATCATAAAGTCCTTGCTGTGCAGTTGATTAACCGCTTGTGGGCAATACTTTGACTTTGAAAATAACTCGTCATGATCCTTCACGGCCTTCTCAATTAAGATGTAGATATGTATTTACTCATGATTTGAGGCTCAAAACAAAAAAGTAATCAATTTATAATTGATGACTTTAATAAATGTTTCATTTTTTGATATAAAAAAAGGCTTATTTGCTCAACAATTACGCCTGACTCCTGTATGCTACGGTTATTTATTATTTTATTCTACAGATAGGTCATATATCACATATTTAGCTTTTATTAATTTCATAGTTTTTTTTTCTAGATTTCGGTACCAAAAGATTTCGATTTCGTCACGATATGTGGATTGACATATAAACGGATCATAAATGATGGAGACCGACGGAAACACATATTTTATGAAACGATTCCAATGCCATCATATGCAATGATTGTTGTGGTTGATTCATTATCTAAATCTGATTTGCAAGACAACATCGCTCTATGGACCGAAAATAAATATATTGAACGAAGCAAAACAGCTTTGGCACGTATAAATGGAATGCTCGAAGCTGCCGAAGCTTATACGGTCCCCGGTATAAAGGTAACAAATGTGAAATATCAACTAATACTTATACTTTAAAAAAAATCGGTATGGATTCAATACCAAGAGGTGCCTATGTAATTTTCACTGTGTTAGTATTAATATTAACACTAACATGATGCCATGGGTTATAAAACCATGTCATAATGGCGCGTTGATCTTACCATCAGGGACATAAATCTATACTATGTAAATATTAATATTAATACAAACACGATAAAAATCATACATAACATGGTATTAAATTCATCCGATATTTTTTAAAGTGTACTAAATTGTATCAAGTTATACGTATAATGATAATTTTTGTGAATTGATATCCTTTTGCTTTTAGTTTTATTGTTTTATAAATATATATTAAAAATAATAATTGTAGATGAGTATAATATATGTGTGCTTCCACCAAATGTCCCAGAAATAGAACTACAGTGTCATTCTATGATATTTGTGTCTTCAATGTTACTTAACGAAGATCTTTTTACAATATGCAGTACGGTTACTCAAAGAGTTGCTCAGAGCTGGGCGGGAGGTTTAATTACGTGTAAAAATTTCCAACATTTGTGGTTAAATAAAAGTTTTAGTATCTTCATATCTAGAGAAATTTTATATCGTTATATGTGTACTGAAGATTTATTTCTTTACGAAATATTCATTTTCTGGAAAGAAAAATCCTTAAGGACATGTTTGAAAAGATAAATTGTTCATAATATTTCATTTAGACAGAAAGTTTCGAAATAAATACGTATATTCAAAATGTTGATTGATAATAACAACAATTTATACTTTTATAAATTTACAGAATTAAAAATACTTTACAGTTCGCACGTAACATACACGCATTCTCATATTTCTACATGTATATACTTATCTGCATTCCTACTTCATCATTTTTCTTTAAATTGTACTAATATTACAGACATGGTTTCATGGTCTTGGTCATTAGAAACTAGTACCCGATTTAAGAGGTGTTTTGCCCACACTCATCACAATAAATGACGTACATGACGAAATGGGATATTTGCTTTTGAAATACTTACAACTTTCCTTAGGGAGACCATTAACTTTCGAACTATATCTCAAACGTTATACGAAAAAATTTTGTTTCAAAAGTATAAACACTAATGATTAGGTGAACCATCTGTATGAATTTTTTGTTTCCAAACATGAGGTAACATCTTTATTTTGTAAACAAACTAGAATTTTAGCAACTTTTTTTCATTGAATTAACATGTAAATTTGATGTATTTACCAGGAAGTAAACTCTATATTGGATAATTGGACTGCGCATAAGAGATATATATAATACATATCCCCATATGTATTCTCATGTCTCTAGAGGATAGTGAATGTTCCAAGTCAGCGAAACAGTGGGTCCAGATAGAACCACTTATTGGTAGCAAATTTTTACCTTCGTCGACTAAACTCAGTTTATACAGTATAATCTTGAGAAAAGAGAATTCTTAACCACCATATATGAATGTGTACGGACTAGCGATCTACAGATTGAAAAGATAAAGTGGCTACATTGTGTGCTTCCACTTGAGGAGCAAATGTGTGAAATATTATTGGTTTATCTATATTTAAATTAATCCGAAATTACGCAGCATAACGCATACGTATATCCTAGGTTTCTTTTGCTATGTTTGTAGATAAGAAGTAAATGGATGGAAATGGTTCAACCTGCTTTGGAATTTGCCCGCGAATATTGTGCGCCAACATTTACCTGTTCAATATTTCGCAAATTAAACGAAGTGGAAGAAACGCGTCACTTGGCGATCTGAGGATTTACTGCTATTGTGAAAGAGAAATGCAAGATGCTTCCCGAAACCATGGAGGAAGTGGCATCCATTCTTAAAATGAATTTAAAGGATATATGTGTATTAAATGAAGAAAATCTGCATATAGAACAAGACGATGACAGTTTAAGTCTAGAAAAAATCGAAGAATTATTTGCTAAATTGATGGAACGAAATATTTGAACACTAATTGTAAGTGTGTACTAATACTTAAAGTTTTTTTATGTAGAGCTTGTTATATTTTAGTAACTGTACGGTAAACAATTCTTTTAGTAAGCAAATATATAATTATGCGAGTATGGGCCGGTTGTACCATCTTCAAATAAACTATGTGGTAACTTACCTATTGGATAAACAAAAGAGTAAAAGAATAAGAGCATAAAAGAGTAAGAGAGTAAGACAGTGAGCTGAAGTTTATTGAAAAGTAGAACAACCCAGTTTGTGTGTATCAAATATATCTACACATGTGCATGTTTTCTTTCTGTTATATAATCTCTTCATATAAAAAAAATAATTGGAAAATAATAATTAGAACATTATAAATACTTGTTTCGCTTAAGAAAAATTGCAATTATATTTTTACGTAATTATTATATTTACGATTAATATTTGATGTACAATTACGTATACAATAGCATAAATTATTGTATATAATTATATTGTATATATTGTATATAATTTCACGTATACAGGGAGTTCCACAATTTTTTGCCAAGCCCTTTTGTGTAGGGGAACTGTTCCTATTAATGTGCCTTTTAGCCAATTTGCTTATTACTGAATTAATTATTAAATATTGTAACTTTTATTTTATCTGCTTGCAATCAATATCGGTTTTTCAACTGTATACTTCTCTTTCTTTAATCTTAAAAATTTAATCTTATATTTCTTTAATCTTAAAAATGTTAATACTTTATAATGCTTTTGACAAAAATAGAAAACATGTTCCTATTAGTAAGTCCTCTAAGCGGCGATGACCCTATTAATGTGCCTCCAATTTGTGTGCCTATCCACATTTTACTCATTTTAACATATAGCTACTAAAAGAGGTAATAAATTTAAGCTAATTGTTTAAGTTAATACTACATAAATCATTATTTCAATTATATTTATTTCAAAGTACACTCATAACACAACGTTCTCAGCTCCAATACAGGGCACATTAATAGGGACAAGCTTAAAATTTTGCGGTACGTATTACTACATTTACATAAATTCCTCACATATCTTCCGAAAAATATTTAAAATACTTTAATACTCAACAAATAAAATATTATCTTGGGTATCGTATGCATTAATAATTTAACTTAACATAAAAAAATTTTTTCTTATTTATTTGTGCTAGTTTTCTTTATGACCTATCGAAATACAAAAGCATACTAATAGGGACAGGCACAGTAATTGAGACAGTTACCCTAGATAAAGTGGACTAAACTAAAGTAGAAAAGTCTTTTAGCATTTTGCAATAACCCATGGCATTATGTTCATGGCATCACGATAGTGTTAATATTAATACTAACACAGTGAGAATTACACAGGCACTTCTTGGTATCGAATCCACACCGATCTTTTTTAAAGTATAGGTATTAGTTGATAATATATTTTACATTTGTTAAAACTCAGTAAACCCTGAGATCGCCAAGTGACGCGTTTCTTCCACTTCGTTCAATTCGGGAAATGTTGAACATGTAAGTGTTGGTGCACAATATTCGCGGGCAAATTCCAAAGCGGATTGAACCATCCATTTACTTTTTATGTACAAACACATTTGTTCCTCAAGTGGAAGCACACGATGGAGCCACCTTATCTTTTCAATCGGTAGATCACTAGTCCTTTATATATGGTGGTTAAGAATTCTCTTTATGCCGGGGACCGCATAAAGCTTCGGCAGCGTCGAGCATTCCATTTATACTTGCCAAAGCTGTTTTACTTCGTTCAATATATTTGTTTTCGGTCTATACAGAGATGTTGTCTTGCTAATCAGATTTATCTAATGAACCAACCATAACAATCATTGCATATGATGGCATTGGAATCGTTTCATAAAATATGTGTTTCCGTCGGTCTCCATCATTTATGATCCGTTTATATGTCAATCCACATATCGTGACGAAATCGAAATCTAGAAAAAATACTATAAATTTAATAAAAGCTAAATATGTGATGACCTACCTGTAGAATAAAATAATAAATAACCGTAGCATGCAGGAGTCAGGCGTAATTATTGAGCAAAGATGTATAATTACATATACGATAGCATAAATTATTGTATATATATAATTATATTGTATACATTGTATATAATTAGTTTAGTCCGCTCTATCTATACAAAAGCGCTTGGCCAAAAATTGCGGAAGACCCTGCGTATATACAGTTTTCCTCATTTGTTGCAACTTCACTTTTTTATTTAAAAAAAACAATGCCAAATTTTTATTATCCTGCTAATTATTTTTAATTTTTCTTTTTATTATTATTCCTTTATTGTGTATACACAGAAGAGTACAGTGCTTATATGTATAAGAAGAGATAAAAGAGAAAAAAAGGACGAATGTAGAGATATATTTTATGCATAATTATATACATTTATATGGAATATGAGTAATATGTATAGATTACTTTTCACAAAGATTTGTTTAGTACTTGTTCTAATAAATAATACATTTAAGGTAAATGTACCAAAAAAGACCAGACATGTACCTATGTCCAACTATTTTGTACAAAATTTTATCCATTTATATTATTATTAATCTTAAATGTTTTTTTAAATATGTTATAATTGATTGCAATTTTTTTGTAAACTTCTTAATAAAGAGTAATACTCGGAAAAAATGATTCAAATATAATTATATGCAATTATATAAAATTATATATAATTATATAAAAAATTGACATAATTATATATAAAATATTCATTTTTATGTCCATTTATGTAACATTTTTTTCCGGGTAATTGTCACTCTTTTTCAACAAGTGAAACATTTTCATTATTTATCAAAGAATGGGTATTTTCACTCTCTTAGAATGAGATTTCATTTCAAGAAATTTAGAGTATAAGTACCATAATATTATAATAAAAAAGAGTATTTATATATATATATATATAATTAATAATAATAAATTTTGTGTAAGTGTGCCGGTACACTTCGGGATATACCTATTTTTTTTTATCTTAAAATGACTTTATCCTTTAGGAAGAAATATATTTAGGATATGTGCAGTAGGGTGAAAAATGTTTATGTAACTGTACATTTTATGCATATTTTGACGTATAATTTATATAAATAAATGACGATGTTGTGACCTGTTAAATATTTGGTTTATTTGTTTATTCATTATTACGTTATTTTCATATTCCAAATAAATACTCCAATACTTGAAACATTTTTATACATTTATAAAACAAGAATGGGTAGGAAGAAGACATGTACTAAAACTATACAATAAAAAAAATTTAAAGAAAGTACATCATATATATGCTATAGATTAAAATATATGTACATTCACATTATTATAAATTATTTTTTTAAATATTAAAAACAGATAGGAAATAACGAAAACTATAAAAATAAAACATATAAATATATATTTAATTATATTTAAAAGAATATTTAAAAAGACAAGCACGCAGACATATATATACTAATTTAAATTAAGAAAATCTGACTGTTTTCTTAACTTAAATAAGTTTATTTATTACATCAATATTTTTACATATCGTTATATATATAAACATGGATAGAAGGTAAGGTAATAAGAAAAAAGGAGAAGTGCTATGCTCTTGAATTTAAAGACTTATGTAAATTTTAAATACTCGAAATAATAGGACAATCTATTTTTATATTTTTGGTGATGATTTAAGATGTGACACATACATCCTTAATGTGTGAAAGCCATATTTTCAAGATTACGGATAATGAAAGAATTAAGGTAAGCATCAAAATACACACACACACACACAACAAATTAACAATTAAAAGAGGCGTTGAGCGTCGGCAAACAGCCAATTTTTTATATACAAACAGGCAATTTTTTATATAATTAAACTCTAATGGATGATATAGTTATAATTAACGTTACATGTATTGACATGACCAACTGAAGGACATATAAAATTAAAATTGCCAATATTATTAACTAACCAGACATTTCAGCTTCAATTTGATTCTTCGGTAAACAAAAATTTGATGATTAAAATAGAGAATTGATCGTAATAGATCCACATATTTCCTTTATATGATTTCCATGTATTTTGCTGTAGTCCATGAATATTCTGATATTGTATTTTCACATTATCACGCGAAGTTTGCAATATTGTTTAATCAAGTACATTCAAAGATGCACTTTGCCAAGATCACATGTAATACTTCATGTAGAAATTGTCTACGTTGCGTCTCTATCTCCAAACTCTGTTTTGTTCTTCGTTAGAATACGTGCGTTCGATATCATTGAATAATCCCTCACAGCTGACGGCGCTTAAAATTTCCTTTAGCTCAACACAATACGCTCAGTTCGGGCAGACACGAGAGATAAGGGATACACAGTTTTCTGCACTCGCGGTAAATCGCGAGTTAATCCTCCAGAGCTGACGCCAAAATCTGTAACACAGTTACTACACAGTATAAGATCTATTTAATTTGTGTTAATTGAAAGGCGTTAATTAATTTCTAGAAACTAAAATGACTGATGATAAAAAAAAAGAATTAATACTAATTGTAAGTATATTTTAATCAGGATAATCCAGGTGTAACATAAAAAAATCAATTGTTCGACATTTTCGAAAGGTATTTTAAAGAGATTTATAACTGAATGGATCCAATATAGCCATTGCCAATTCCGAAGAGTTAATACAACAGTTATAAACCAAAACATTTATAATTAATAAATAGAGATTTTAGGCATTAAAAATAAATGGTGAAAATAAAAGAAATGCAAAGAGAGAAAACAATGGACATATAATTATTGATAAACACGAGAAACGTTGTAAGAAACATGTAAATATGCCGGAAAGAATGATTGATATAATTGCTCAGCTCGGCCCATAAATTACTTAGGCATCGATCATTATTATATGGCTTGTAGCATCACCGCAGGATATCTCTTGTGTTATCGGCGGATTTGCATATCAGATTTCCGGAGCTATCTTAGCCGATGTACTCGACATTGATTCCTACAACAAATTCCTCCGAGATGTAGTAGTATGAAGAATAGAAATGAGATCCGGGTAGTTAGAGATGTTTCTTCTTTCTCCGCATATTTTTTTCCTTTTCAATAATGCAAGGCAAACAAGTTTTCTAATAATATCCGTACGCTCAGATTATATGTTCTAAAGTGAGCGTAATCACACACAAAATAAGATAAAGAATAGAAATAAAAAAGAAGATATACAACATCTCGTGGAGGAAAAATTGAAAAAGTGGGAAAGAGAAGAGAAG